CATCTGTTTCACCTGGCTAATGCCAGTGTCTGGTTCAGACGAACTTGACTCTTGACATATTTTACTATTTTATTTGGTAAACTTACCGACTATATTATTTATACACCTCGTGATTGTAATCCGGAACCGATCTCCTTCAATAAAGAAGTGTAACAGGCAAACGGCAAATCTGTCGCTAATGTCAACAGAAATTCGCGTAACCGTTACTGGCGATTTATAATAAGAAATAGATGATTTTAGGCGTATGACTTGGTCGAGTACTTCTCACTACTCGCACACTCCCCTTTTATTACTAACATTGTCTCACTTATTTATACATTTTCTTATTATTACATAAAATGATCTGACTACACTAAATATGGAATGATGTACTTTTAGCTGGATTATATAATGATTATAGAACAACTTCTACAATATCATTGTCGTCGCTCAGTCATTATATTGTGACAGGATCGAATCTCATGCTATTTAGTGTAGATCTTCACGTGACGGCACAGTATCATTGTTCATTATGTGGCGCGTACGATCTTCCATACTTGTATTTTACTTTCTTTATGCTAATTCCATGTCTATAACCACATTATCGTGGTACCTGCTAGATTTGGCTGATTCTTTTTGAAAACGACAAAAATGTTATATACGATTTTTTGATCCCTATTTTTTGAACAATACATATACAATATAAATTCTAGGAGTACTATTATAAAGTCAGAAACCCCTGTCCGCCTTCAAAAAGAATTACCCATTTATACAAACATTTTATTATACAAACATTTTATATTACCCCTTACAAAGGTTAATGGTATTATATTTACAAAAATGATAGAAAAATATTAATTGCCTCGAAAGAATAAATCGAAAAACTCGGCGTTGTACTCGAGGAAAATTTCCTGAAAACCAGAAGCTTTACTTACTATTTTAATACACGAGTGTTAACGAAAAATAATAAACGTGATAATAAATCCAATTACAGTATTTCTAAATGACGTCACAGAATCCGTAAAAAAAGATTAGTTTTAGTAGTCTCTAGTAATTAAAGTGAATTCGGTGGGCAAGAAAATCACGATTAGTACTTATCCAAATAAAATATTTCAGCTACTTCGGCTTCTATTATTCGTTGCACCACAATGTTTAACTGATAATGTGTGGCCTGTTTTGTGTCTACGCAAATGATATTTATCAAGAAAAATATTAATAGGAAGAGCATTTACGCTATCACCTTACCCTTTAACAAGAATAGAAATATTTTGGTATGTCCTTTTTGATCCAGACAAGTAATTCTTGAGCCGTTTTTCCACTGATAGGAACGGTCGAGGTCCATGGTTTTTTTTTTTTAGATATCTGTACAGTAGAGTTGTGCCATTTTTTTGAATCGATATTCGGTTTGCAATAACATTAGTACAAAAGCCTTTTACCTCCGCTGGTTGCATATTGAATTTTGCATGGATGAAGGATTAGATACTGAATATCGCATTTTTATAATCGCTCTTGCACTTTTTTTCAAGGGTAAAAAAAGTCGAGACAATTAAATCCTTCATCTTCACGAAGCTGCGACTCTCTTTGTTTTTTCGTTTGGTGCATTGGTGATATCACAAATTTATGTGGCTTCTATTGTCAAATAGTAAATATCCAGTTTGCCTTTCTTTTTCTGAAGTAATTTAGCTATTTCAGTGGGATCGTTTTCCGCCTAGTTATATGCCAATTTACTATTTCTTATAGGAAGAATGTTTTCATTTTCCCCAAATAAGAGCAAATGTTTATTTTAATTATGACGACGAATAATTAAGTTACCTAAAAAAGTAACCGCTGTTCTAGTTGCTACTTTGTTTGCTTTTTCTACTTTTACTTTTTTTTACTTCTTTTTCTCACGCAATACTTAGAGACAAACACATCTAATAAAATAAAAGAATTCACAACAAAAACAGGTCACTACCTATTGTAAAACCTTGCCCTTTTGACCTACGTTAAGAATGGGAGCTAACAAACTGTTTGCGCAGGCGCCGTACGACGTATGAAATTCCAGATACAAGGATTAACGACGTATCCGCAAACAATAGTGTTAAAATTTTCGTTCTAAATTTGAATAGAAAGTGCCTACTGAAGGTAACCCGGAGATATTGAAAATTATTTATTATACAGTTCGAAAAAATGGTTACATAATACAAAAGTATGAAGAAAATATGTAAATTAGAATAATTTACTTTCACATTACGTAAGTTTCCTTAATTTATAGTATTTTATTTAGTAACATGTATAAAAGTGTTTAAATTTTTTAATATAGTAATTTCTGGTGTTTTCGTTCGGGGTAAAGAGGACGAAAAATTCCTATCAGGGTTCCCAATGTGCAATAGTATTAGGGGGGTTTTTTTTTTTTCGTTAGACAATTATATAATAACGGCGACGGTTAGCTTACCTAAAAAGATAACTGCCGTCATAGTCTCTAATTTCTCAAATTTCTCTGCTTTCCCTACTCTCTTTATTTATTTTTTTGTTTTCACGCAATAAAGTATATAACCGATCAAAATAAAGTTACATGCCGCTTTCAGATTACGTCAGATGTGAAAACCAAGCGAATTATCTGCGCAGACGCCGTACGACCAGTCCACACTTATGATGGTTAGGTAACCTAAGGCAATGCTGATCTTTTGTCGGTTGTTCTATTCACGGCTTGTTTGAAACGCTTTGAAATCCTTCCCTCTACACTCAACATGCAATTTGTAACGGCATGAGTTCATGGCCAAACGTATTTCGTGTTGTATTATGGGAGGAAAGTAAAGTAAACCACAACCCTCAGAGGAATTTTTTACTTTAGACGATTTTCTCACGTCTCGCCTCAGATGGATCTCTTCTTTAATGGTAAAAAAACCGGGGAACGATCTCACAGTCACCACCAAATGTGGCAGGCAAATAGTGAGTCGATCGTTAAATGAAACAGATATTCGCGTAACTGTCATGATAGTTTATTGTTTTATATGATGAATGAACTTACGAGTATCTCGTTACATCTTGAAAAATTTAGGCCCTTATATATGTTTTCTTACTAAAGAAATAATCGAAATCGAAAGAAAATTATCGAAACTAATGGAAACTTGTGGAATGTAAAAGCAAGTGCTATTCTAATTACATCATTTTTCTTCACGCTTATTATATTATGTAATCATTATTTAGACTATTTGATAATTCGCGATACATGTGAATTCTTGATCACGTAACTAAAATCACCTCTTACCATCCTTTATTTTTCTTACAATATACAGTATATTATTGTTGATTTTGTACATGACTAATTATAAAGAGATGAAACCCTTCATCACTTTTATGTACACATGATTCGATTGGCGCAGCAGTCATCCTATGCCTCGTGGGTTATACTGTAACACGTGCTATATTAAGCTTGGTGAGTGACGTCTTTCCGTTATTATAAACACACAGTATGATCGTGTGGTTTTAGTTACTATTTACGGTCGTAGAGGGGGTGTTCTTGTGCAGGAGGGTATACAATGACTTCGAGTGAAATTTCCGTACTATAGTAATTTATATTGTTTAAGTAGATTTTCGGATTTTGTTTCCGGTATATGGAAATTCGAATAAAAAAATCAAAAAAAAAACTAATTTTATAAAAATAAAAATAAACAAAGAAATATAATTAATTAAAAGTAAAATTTAGAAATAATAAAATTTAAGATTAAACAATTAAACAAAAAAATAAAATAAACTGAAGTTACAATAACATGGGCTATTAAAACTAAAACTAAATCACTTAGACTAAAATCTATATAAACAAAAAGAATATCTAAAAGATAATCAATTGTTCAGCTCTTGTACTGATACTATTCTTAGAGACATGATCTTTATTAATATAAATAATAGAATATAATTGATATTATTTTTTATTGTGGTAATTATTATTGTTATTGTTATTGTGTTAAAAAACTGATTTGAATAGGTTCAATTTTTGCTTTGTTGTTTTGATAAAATCTGATTAAATGATTGAAAAGGGATAATTATTTGGAGGGTAAATTAATTTCAATTTTTTGAAAATTTTAAAATAATATAGTAAATAATATCATAGTAAGATTATATATTGTTAGCAGTAAAAATGGTAGATGGATTGGGATCAGCTCAGATTACGTGACATGGTGCAATATATCAATTTATGCATCAATGTAAAGAAAAAAGTTTAGGAAATCTATTGCTGATTTGCATAATATGACATTAGATTAGTAGACATGTTGCAGGTAATATAAATAGGAGTAAAATAGTCAGTGGTATGAAAATAAGAGAGTGAATTGCCTAATAAAACCTGTATTTTGTAGCATAATAATTAATAAACTTACCTTAATAAAATACTTGTTACCTAAAAAATCTAGTGGTAGCCAATATCAAGCCTATTGGTAAAGGATTGAGTTACAAGGACAAGAGAAAAGAAGAAAAGTTAGAGAATGGTTGTATTAACAAGTATCTTTGGTATTGCAAGCAACACAACACTCAAATGATAGAATATTGATATAGATAGTTTTTATAATATAGTAAAGATAAAAAGAAATACAAAAAAACAAAAGAAAAAAGAACTGATATTGACCTTTCTTTTCTTATATAATTAAAGAATAAGAAAGATTTTCAAACTTAAGTAGACTTTAACTAAAGGTTCTATTCCACTGTACTAGTTGTTTTGAAGGTTTTTGAAAATTAATAAATATTTATAAATATTTATATATCTTAAAAAAAAAACTTTTTTCCACTTTTTTTAAATGCTTAAAAATTTTCTTTTTAAAAAACTTTTAAGATATTTACTTTTTTTCTTTTACTTTTTTCATTTTTTTTTTCTATTCTTTGTTCCTCCTTCTTTATTCTTATTTCTGTTTTATGAACTTCTATTCTAACTTGTTTTTCTCTTTTATCTTTTTTCTTTCCTTGCTGAAGTTAAGTTTTCTTTTTCTTTTAAAGTTTTTTTTTTAAACATTATATTATTTTATCACTCTTTTAGCTAGCAGATTTTCTTTTTTCAGAAACTATTAATATTTGATAATTTTTCACAAGATATAGACTTTGAAAAATTTTTTTATTTTATTATTTTCAAAAAAAGAATAGACAGTTTATTTTCTTCAAAAAATCAATATAATTATTATTATCAAATCTAATGTTGATTACTTGTTAATAATAAAAATTAAATACATTTAAAAAACTATTATATAACCATTATTATCTGAATTTTTAAGAAGTTGTGCTTCACAATATCTAAAGAGAAATAATAATCAATGCCAATATAGCAATATTAGGTTGTTACATATGTCATGTTAATAATTAAAGAATCTAATAAAGTAATATATGATAATTAGGAATTTTAGTTATTTCTGTAAACAAAGCTGATAATAACAATACAAGTTTCTTGTTTACTTCTTAACAATATAGATCTATTATGCAAAATTAAATAACAATATCTATAAGAAACTTTAACTTTATTATATTATATTATATTCAATTACTTCTCTTAACAAATTATTATCTTATATCCAAACACTTTTTTCATATCTTCTGCTTTATACTTGAATTGGGTCTTATTTAAATATTTAAATAATGTAATTATATATACAAAACTTTTTGTGAAAAGCAACTGTTCTCTTCTTTACTTGTTACAAGTGTAAGCAACTGTCATAAACTTGAATAATCTATAATTTGTTACAATTTTAGAAGAGTTAAAAAAATCAAATACTAGATAATTAAATAAAAAGTCATCTTCACTAATAATATTCTAGTCAAAATAATAGTTATTTAATTATTTGAGCAAATTATCCAAATGAAGTTTAAGATGGAACATATTTTGCTTGCTATATATCAAGTCATATTTAAAAAGCAAATATATTAATTTTAGTTATTATTTGAAGGCCAACCTGTATATAGTGGCTACAATATCTTTATATAATTATATAATCAAAATTCTTTAAGTAATTAAAAGCTATTCAAGATATAATATAGATTTTGTACTTTATTTTTCTATATTCTTAAGTAATATTAAAAAGCTTAGATAAATAGATTATATTTGTGAATCTTGTGTTAAACTCTTCTTAACAAAAAGAAATATATATTATACTATAGTTATAAATCTTATAATTGCAAGTCTAAAATTATAATAAAAATAATATATAAGAACTGTTTATTTCTTTAAAAAATATATATATTTATTTATATATCTTTTTACTTTTTTATGAAAAACTCTTTACTAATCCTTTTGCCAATCCAAAAACAGATGTTCCAGAGAAATTTTATATTTCTTTATAATAAAATCTGTACACACTCTCTAATAACATTATTATCCAAAAACTATTGTCTTTCTACTTGTTTCTTTTTCTCTTTGATATAAACCTTTTGTATTTCTGCAAGTAAATACAAGAAAAATTCATCTATAAAGTCAAAGGCAAGAATACTTTGTTAGGAAAAAAATTTTATTGAAAAACACTTTTCTTCTTTTCTTCAAAAGTTCAAGATTTTAAAGAAGACTATTATTAACTTTTGAAACTCTTCTCTCATCTTTCTCAAGTCTTCTTCTATCTTCTCAAGTATATATACTTTTTTCTGATGTTTCTGGAGAATTTTGTTTACCTCAATTTGACCTTGACTTTTTGGTTATACAAGAATCTCTAAATAATAATTGGCTCAAAATTTAGATTGGTTGATCTGTATATAGCAAGAAATATAAACAAGACATATAAATCCCATATGTTTCATCTTATATAACTTATATCTGATAATGTTGTCATATATTGTTTCTATCTCAGGAAAAAGATAAAGACAGAGAACTAGTAGCAAGAAGATACTTTAGATAGACAGGGCTAATGTGATATGCTAAAGTTCTTAGAGGTATACAAATTAGTACAATTCTGAGATATATGAGGTTAGGCTATACATGTTGCTGAAATTCGTAGATCTTTGACGCAATTGACGCAATTATTTAACGCAATTAATTGAGTCACTATTAAAACATATAAATAATTGAGTCATGACGCAATTATTTTTGAGGATTTTGGGAATTGAGTCAACAGCAAAATAATTTATGCCACATGTATAGATCAGGCAATAGAGACAGTAATGATTTGTTTTGTAAGAGTCAAGTTATTTATTTGATAAAATATATTTTCCAGCCTGTTAATTCCTAGTCAAAATTGAAGCTTTTATATATATGTTTAAGTTATAATATTTTTGTACATAATAAATATATGTTATAATAAAGATATAAACTAAGATATGAATACTATCTTTGTTAGTTCCAGTGGAACTATGGTGTACTGGTAAATGTTTGGTACTTTTGTACTAAGGTTACTGGTTCAAATCCTGGTGATGGCTAAATTCCTGTAGACATATTCCAGGAATGATCATGGTACTACCATGAATCGATATCAAAGTGTCATAGTGCTACAAATCTTACTGAAGATCTGGATCCCATAAGTACTTATTATGATGTTAGTGAGTAATCTTAATACTAGGGGCTAGATGTAGCAGTGATAAGTGTCAGTTGCCTAACTATCATTATGTGACCAGATTGGACCAGTAACTTTCTCCTTTTTAAGTAATCATAAAAAGACTACTGTAGGTTATAAATCTATAGTTGTAAGTACCTTGAACATCCCTGAGCCATAACAGGAAGGCAGGAATTAAATGGTTAAAGGCTAGCTACAAGTGATACAGAATGGTAAAGATAATTTTAAATAGAGTTTTATTTATCAAAAAAAAGTATTATCTTCAGTTCTCCACTTTCCCTTCCCCTTAAAAACATACCCCCAAATAAACCTAAATAGTGCAGTAATACTAAACATACTAGTGGAGTCTTGGCATGCTAGTCTTGATTCCTTTTCTATAACCCAGGTTATATAATAAACCAAAAACTCAGAACCAACATTTAGAGAAATCTTGATATAGTTTAATATATAAAATATAAAATAAGTTAGAAATTATAGCAGTAGTCATGTATTTAATATGTAATTAATTCGCAAATCTCTACAATAATAAGTATACCAAGCAATAGCTCCAGTTAGTGTTGGTAAAAATACTATCTTTATCAGAATATTCAACTGTGTTAGCATTTACATAGATAATACCTTCTAAAGATAATATAGAAAGTAAAGATAAAATAAAATATAAATATTCTAGAAATGGTAAAGATGCAATAAATATAATAAATATCAAAAATACAGTAACAGATCTGTAATATAAAACTATTTTAAAATAGCAAACATT